AGACAGAGAACATATCACAGGAGGCAAGGAAGAGGGTATGGGCTTGTCTACTCATAGATGAGGAATCCGATGGCTTTAGAAGGTAAGGGACACATCAACGACACAAACTTAGAGTTATAGATTTTCAGAGCCAGAAAATTATAAACAAGGGGCCAAGAATTCAAGTCTCCTGTCGGAACTGTGTTCCTTTGTTTCTGGAGAATGGAAATGACAGCTGTGAAAAATCGCCACCTTTTCAGGGCTGCTGGTGACGGAAGACACTGGGGTGGCAGTGGGGACATCTGGATCCTGCTCCCCGCCCTGTCATCTGATCACAGAAACCCTTCTGGACTTTGTCTGCATCATCTGAAAATGAAAGGATTGGATGCAATGGGATGTTCTCTCTCTCTCTCTTATTACCATATTAGCAGAAACACTGATTTTTAAAAATCTGGTGCTTCATAAAAATGGGGAGACCAAAGCCAACACCGTAGTGCCAGAGCTCTTGGTTGGCTGGGGCAGTCCTGGCAGAGCTCTGTGAGGCGCCTCCCACACAGGGTGTGCTGCTAAATCATTGCTTTGGGTACCAGCGTGGCGCAGTGAATGAGCTCCGAGTGGCATGTCCAAAGTCAAGGAGGCACAAGGGCTTTTAACCTCAGCTCAACCCCATTAAACTCAACTGGAGCGTGACTGTGGCCATACAGAGCGAACGTATTGGCTCTGAGCCCATCAGGATTCTGAGGCTCTTTCTCAATGAGGAGGCAAGCAGGAAAAGAGGTAGATTTTATTTATGCGGCCTGGATGAGGGATCTGTATAGTCCAGGGTATGACGTGTGATGCAAGAATGCAGACATGGAGCTCTGGGAAACTGGCTTCACTTCAGTGGGTGATGTCGTGAAGAGACAGTGGACAGAGGATCAGAAGCCTTGAGCTCCAGTCCTGAGCGGGCCTGTCACCTTGGGAAAGTCACTTAGCATCTTAGGATCTGTTTGTTTTTTCCTCTCTAAAATAGGGGTTCTCAATGGATAATTTCTAAGTTTTCTGCTAGTTCTAGCAATCTGAGGTTGTGTGAAATATTAGAACATTATGAGACAGGCCATCTAGTTTCTTAGGGGTCAAACTACAGCCCAAAGCAAATCAAGCAATTTTTTTCTTTTTTTAATATACCAAACCTTAAGAGAGTTCCCAGAGTATCAAAGTCTTATGCCAGAATTTCTGAGTTGGGCTGCCACTCGAAGCTAGGCTTTTTGACCGTGTACTTGAGTATGTTTAGAGAAAAACATGTTTAGAGAAAAACAGAATAGCCATAGCACCTCTTAATCTTAATTATGGTTTAATCCTTTACCCAGGATTTATACAAGGGAGCTTTGAGGTTTTAATTAATATTCAAAATCAACAGACTACAGCCAGATCCAAGGGTAGCTGGATATTTTCAGGTCTTATAGAAAGTTAAATTGATGAATATGACCTTTGGAACTGGTTTATACTACATATGCGGAACCCAATCTCCATTCCTCAGATGGATTTCTTTGATAATTGAGTCTTGTTAAAATGTAGTGATCACACTTGAGTCACTGAGGTTCAAAATTAAGCAAGTTTCTGGCCTTCAGACACTCAAATCGTGCTAATATATTCTTTTCCTGAATGTCTCCTATTATATAACCTTATATTTGTATCATATTTTATGCATTTTTTTATCCACTCTTTCACTGGATCATCACAGTGGACTTCTTTGATAAGCTGGAGGTAAAATGGTATCTCCATTTTAGGGAAGAAAAGCTGAGGTTCAGGTACCAAGGTCACGTGTCTAAAAGTGACCACACTCCCAATTACTTTTTTAGATTTGTCATTACCAGTGAATGGATGGGTTTGTTCCACTGTTCAAAGGGCATTTTGCTCAAGGCTGGTACATTTTTGCAAGCTCCTCACTAATAGCTGAGTATTGTCACATCACAGGGAATTACTCAGAAAAACACAATGCGAATGATTCATCTATTTGCTACTGATAGATATGAATGATTAGAGGATACTTTGAAGAAGAATATTTTTATGTTGTCATGAAATTTTATTAATGTTTTTGATAAGTGTAAGATATATGAAAAACGCTTAGGTAGATAAAATAAACTTGCAGAGCTCAAAGGGCGTCAACCCCCAAGAAAGAGAACAATTGCTAAGGAAAATCAGAAGGAGCTGGAGCAGGAATGACCAGAGAGAAATTTACCAACCAATTACCTTGCCCATGAGTATGGTTTATTTTCTGAAAGTTTAATTTTCTCAACTTCTATACCCAATTCAATGCTGTTCCCTTCAAAGAAGTCATCTTGAGAGGCTATATACTTATTCCATTCATGCTGCTTATTAATTGAATTATTTTTGGAACTTCTCTTTTATAATTGCCTTCTGAAATAGACACTTTCTTTTAAATATTCTTAATGGTGTTTTAGATAAAGTTAGAGTTATTCAGAGCCACGTCTGGTGAAAAGGCACATATAAAAGCTAGGTAATTTATTTTCCTTCCATCTCTTCGTTCCTTCCCTCTCTTTCTCTCTTCCTTCTCTCTCTCTTTCTCTTCCTCTCTGTCTCCTTCCCTTCCTCCTTTCCTCCCTCCTTCCCTCCTTCCTTCCTTCCAAAAAAGAGACGATACCAAATTATTTTTTGTGTCTCATAAACTTCCTCTGAAGACTCCAGAAATTATTCTAAGTAATGCAGGGTTGTTGTAGGAAGAACACATTCTCCAAGTTAATTATGTTGGTGCTTAAAGTCTAGTTTGTTAGTTTAAAATACTCTGTGTTATCGTTTTGTAATTGTATCCCCTAGGATGATTTCTACAGGCTTTGGTGGGAGTGTTGGAGTCATTGCAAACTGCAGGAGACCTGAATATTGTCTTCACACTGGTGATGGGCTTGGGTGAACAGCTCTGTGCTGAGAGCTGAGGGCCAGGGCAGAGAAAGGAGCAGCAGCTGCAGGGAGCCCTGAGATGGGTTAGGGGTGCTACACATCACTGATTGGAGGTGTCCAGAGAGAGTGCCCAAGGTGGTCTGGCAGGAACTTGAAGCCATGGCACATGAGGACTATGTAAAGGATCTAGGGGTGTTGAGCCTGATGCTGATGTGAGAATTAGGGTGGTGTGCTGGGAAGGACATGGGACTGGAATTGTTGCTTCCAATGTTACTCCTCCTCCCAGTTAGCTGTGTGACACTGGGCAAATAACTTAACCTCTCTGTGCTTGTTTCCTAATCCATCATGTTTAATTTTAGGACTAAATGAGATGAAGCCTTCTTTAAAGATGACAATTGATTTTATAAGGGATATATGATAAATCTCTTCAAAGACTTGAAGAGCTCTCATGTAGAAGAAGGAGTAGACTAAGATTTTAGACTCTCAAAAGAGGGAACAAGGATTAAAGGGTTGCAGGGGAGAAGATTCAGCTTTAAGTGAGAAAGAACTGCCCAGCCATCGCTGAGATGGCTGCCTTGGGGGTGGACGGTGCTGTAGTAAGTCCCCCATCAGTGGAAGAATTCAAGAAGAGCTTAGAAGAACAATTCTACGATGTTGTAGAAGGAAAGCGTAAACTGCAGACAGTGGTAGGCTACTTGATTATGGGGGTCTTTCTCATTTCTAATATTCTAGGACTCTCTACTCTTTAGAGGTCTCCCATGCTCTTGATTGCATTTTTGCAGCTACACAAGACCAAGGAATGACAGGCTTAAACATCCCAGGCAGTTCTAGCAGTGAGAAGTGATCCATGAGGGTTTGGTTCATCCTGCCTAGGCATCTTTATAATTTCTAGAAGGATCTACCTCCTAGCACCCTTGTTTACCCTAATGCTACCTGAAAGAATCAAAGAAAGGTATCCCAGTTTCATTGAATGAGAAGAGTTAAGAGGGACCTTTCATCTGCTTCTTCCATTAGCACCTTTTTCACTGTAATTATAAGATACCCCTTTTGCTTCTTAGCAGGGACATGTCTCACAAGCCAGTATCAGGCCTAAGGCTCCAGAGTAGCATGTCGTGTGAACACAGAGCTAATCATTATTGATTCCTTGGGCCATTAAGGGAAAGGGACATTAATTACCATCAGCACATTTGCACTAATGCAGTTGTAATAAGCACACCTGTGGGAGTTCCCAATGAAGGAACTGCTCATCGGATCCTAGCAGCCAGCAGGGGAATGGGGTGGACTAGAGTACAGGTGTCCAGGAGGAAGGCAGATTCATTGGTTTGACTCTGGTTACCTCCAGAGTTTCTGCTAACTTATGCACAGGTACCCAGAGCACTCTGCGTGCAATGTCTCTCCCTCCTTTTTCCACTCCCTGGTATTTTCTGTTCCCTATACACACTGCAGTAGCTCTGGTTCCCAGATGCATCCTGTGGTACAAGATTCCTACCTACTGGACTCATCACACAACTCTTAGAAGTATGGGCTGGGCAAGACCTCAGCAAGAGTTAAGGAGTATGTGCGTATCTCTGAGATGGGGAGAGACCCTAAGTTCCTACCTGCCACCATTCTTAGCAGAAAGCCATCTTGGCACATTCCCACTTTCTTTTCTTGTCTCTACCACCTCCACCCTTTAATCCATCTCTTTTTCTGAACAATAATTATTAACACATGAGGGTTTAGTGTGCACCAGGCTCCATGGTAAGTGCTTAACCTAAGTTATCTCATGTAAGCCTTACAAACCTAACGAGGCAGGTCTCCTTACTACTCCACTATTTGCAAATAGGGAACAACACTGAGGTTCAACAGGCTAAGTAATTTGCCCAAAGTCATGGCTATAGACTGAACTCAAACCAAGTGTCCTCATTTTAAATTATTATATTATTTTTTCATATGATTCCTATTATGTGAAAACTTGGATGACTCTATTGCATAATCAAATGGGCATTCAAGGAGTCCCAAGTTTGATGGTGGTATCTGTGTATCTAGAGACTCCCGCCATCTTTCTGTCTATCTACCTAGCTATCCTGCTCTCTGTGTACTTTCTCCATGTTTTTAATCTTCCTTTTATTTTATCTTTACAGGTATCTCATCAATGTCACTTTTGAGGGGAGAAATCTGTCCTTCAGTGAAGATGGCTACCAGATGCACCCGAAACTGGTGATCATCCTTCTGAATAAGGAGAGGAAATGGGAGCGGGTAAGACATGCCTTTGGCAATTTTCAAGCAAAGTAGAAGGGTAGGGATGTACAGTTTTGCAACATTTTAAAGGAAAACAGTTCCTTGGTTTTTGTCCCTAGTCCCGAGGAGCAAGAGATCAATACTTTGAGAACTCAACAGAAGCCATTTCTCAAACTTGTATCTTCATTTTCTTGATTTGGTTAATCAAGAGGTTTTCATTATGTATTGCCATTTATTATTGATTATTGTTTTTTGCATTGATAATGTACAGATTATTTATTATTGCTAACTGCATTACTATATGAATTATGACTTTGTTTTCAGAGAAGAGTATGTGTATACATTATAACATAATTTGATAAAGAAACCAAATCAGTGGTACAATTCAGAAGTCGTGTCCTACACAGTATCTGGGGAGCCTTATAAAGATGAATTTATGAGCGGTCAGGTTTAGATTTCCTGTGGTTGAAGGGCTGCCATGCAAGGTTTTGCTCATAATCCCTCCCACTGCCAGCTGATCACAGTGTTTGCAATTCCACCACTACAAGTTAATTTCTGTGGGTGCCCGACTGCCTAGGTTGAATTCCCAGCCCTATTACTCACTAACTTGTCTATTTAGGACCTTGGAAAAATCTCTTAACTCCTCTCTGCCTCAGTTTTTTCATCTGTAAAATGGGAATAATAATAGCACCCACAGGTATGAGGATTAAAAATATATTAATATTTGTATTTAGAAGAGTGCCTAGCATGTAGTAAGCACTCAGTAAGTATTAGCTTTCGTTATTGTTCCAGATTCCTAGTTAAATGCAAGTGTTCCTGAGAGTAATGTCATTACCAGTGTTTCTGTAAGTATGTTCTACAGGGCATTTGTCCCTTGAGACACTTTGCTGGGAAGTGGTTCTGGAGTTGGACACTGTTGGAAGATGCTCCACACTGTTTGTCACTCTAGGGGAGTCTCGGGACATTTTAACATTTGAAAGTTCAGAGATGTCTTATAGCCAAAAACATCTTTAATTTTACTTAGTGTGGCATTTCCGCAACAGACTTTACCTCAAGACCCCTCTGCTCATGAGAATATTTCTGTTCTACGAAAACATGTTGGGAAACCGATTTAAGACAAGCTCCACAGACTCCATGGGCCCACTGGCTGGGAACAGGCTTCAAGATGTCAGCCTGGTTCTGACTAGAAGGGGGAAACCAAGCTGTATGTTTCTGGAGGGGAGTAGCCAGGAAAAGACACCCCAGGCCAGAAATTCACAGTCTTGTCCCAGAGAGCCCCGGACAACTAGTTAGGTGAATGTCGCCTGGGAAATTGGACGCGTGTGGCTCAGGGCGTGCAACCTAGGACCTAATTCTTGGAATTGGAAGACCTCGATCTGTCGTGTGTTTCCTCTTATCAGGGCACAACTATGCACCTTAACCCTTTGCACTCCGATGCCGAGTGTGACTCGACAAGGTTAGCATTGGTAGCATCGGTAGCAGCTCATGTGTCAAGCCACACTGGACACGTAGTTTCACCGCGGGGGGAAGGGAGATTTTTGTCTATTTTTCCAGTATCCTTTCTTGTTTTCATTAGCATGAAAGGACGAGTAAAATGTAAATGCAGAGGTGGTACACTAACTTCCAGGGGTAAATTATTATCCGCTAACTTAGAGCAATGTTTAGATGGAAAGCTCCCTATAATCACACCTCACCCTAACAAAAAACACAAAGATTGTGTTGTTTGTTCTAACAGAAAAATCAAAGGAGGAAGAAGAGAGACGATTTATATATTTGCGAAACATGTGAATGTAAACCAGGTCTTCACGTGGGTGAATGTTTCAAAAAATATCACACCATGAAAAATTATAGAGATTAAAATGACTCTTTGAAAGTATCAATAATTTGAAATATTAAAAAATCCAAATAAGTAAGTTTGTATGAAAAGAAACTCCAGTTTTTTACTCTACTGCCGCGCTTTGTAAAATCTGGGGTGTTTAAAAAATTAAAAAAAAAAAAATAAAAAATTAAATCCCGAGTAGAATAAAGGAATCGAGAAAAAAGCAAGCGAGTGCAAAGGGTTAAATTATGGCTGATGTTCTTGATTCAGGTGGCCCTCCCTCCACTGAGTCTCATCTGTGCTCCTGCTCTCCACCCTAATCAGTCTGCTTTCACGGTGACAGCGGAGACATCGTCATTTGAGATGTGTTCTGGGCCCCTGATGTAGAACAGGTACTTCTTTCTGTCTCCAGAAGAGGAGTTATTAATAACTGAGGCTTCACGGGCGGCTCGGAAACATCAAGCTGGGGCAGCTTTTATGCAGTAGACTCATGATTACTGTCCCAAGCAGGAGGTGTCTCACCGCTGTCCTTTCTTAAAGGGACGCCACTTGCCCTCATGCCGACTTCTCTTCCTTCGGCCAGAATCTAAGGCCTATGACCCCCGCCCCTTTCTGGAGCTTGGCACTCCCTCCTGGGGTTTGGATCTCTCCCCTCATCAATTCTACTTTTACTCTAGCTCTTGACTTTGTATATGATTCAGGAACCATGTGGTGATTTTTTAAATGGGCTTCCTCGTCTCTGATGCCTGCCTTCATCCGTTGAGATTATTCCTACGTAAATAAGGCAGCTGGAATGAGCTTCCTAATGCACAGCTATCATTGTAATGTTCTTTCCGTGCCCCAAACCCACTCAAGTCTTCTGTGGTTTATGGACGGGGCTAGACGTTATCTGTTCTTGCGTTGAAGGCTCTCACCTACCTTCTAAACTTGTCTTCTCTTCCTCATGGTTTCCTGTCTCACCCTTAAGCTGCTCTGGGCTCCTTTCTGTTTCAAGGATGTGTCCTTGTATGTCCTGCCTTTGTGCATGTCACGATGTTTATTTTCCTGGAATGAACTGTCCACTTGTACAAATCATAACCATCCTTTGGAACCCAATTAAAATGTTGCTGCCTCCTTCCCTGATCTTTGAAATATAATCTCTCACACTCTTGTTTCCTATAGCTTTTGTCCATATGTCCATGGCAGCCCTCGTCACTTCTGCCTTGTGTTAGAGTCGTGTGTATGCATGCTTCCAAAGGACAGAGGCTGTGTCTTTATCTCCTTGTGTCCTTTTCCAACCTGGAAGAGTGTATTGCATAGAGCAGTTCTGTAAGTATTTGTGGCATGAACGAGAATCATTATGTAATAAAAGAGTCCAAAACCTATCATTAAGAGCCCAAGTGTATGCTATTGCTTTTTATGTAATAGCTGTTATTTGGGGGAGGGGAGATAAAATCTTTATGTAGATTGAATTTTTATAGATCATACTTCAAATGTACCAAAGGAACTTGCTGTTTAAAGGAATTTTGTGGTTAATCTTTTTGTAAAGCATTTTGGGAGGGGTTGAAATCATAGAGTAGAACATTCTCGTATCGACTTGGTTAAACCAGGGAACATTGCAAGACAGATGTTTAGTGGTTGTTGGGTTCATAGAGCCATGCAAACCCTGACTCCCAACTTGGAAGGCCTTCTTCTGGCTTACCTGTGGGCAGGGAGTGGCAGGAGGCAGGTACGGCTCTAGCGCATGGCTGGGATGTGGTGACATTGCCCCATTGAGAGGCGTGCCTTCCCTTCCACTGTCACCTTGGCTCCCAGGTACATTCTCCAGGTGATTAATGCTGCCCCAGTGGGTCCCCTGTGGTCCAGGGAGGACTTAGTGTTTGTAGACTCCGGAGAGGCTAGCACTAGGGTGAAGACTCTGCCAAGAGGACTTGGACATTGGAAATATAAGTAGGGAACGAATCTGGATTTGTGGGAAAAACCTGGGTTAAGGACTGGACTTTCAGCTACCAGTCAGGCCACTGTCTAGCCATGGGACTGGCTATTTTCACTCTTCTGCACCTTTCTTTGATGATGGCATGAGACTAAGACTTCTAGGGTCCTTTCTAATGCTAACATCTGGGATAGCAAATACATGTTATAAATAAATAGAAGCTTGGAGTAGAAATTGGGGTGGGGGCTGAAGCGTACAGAGGAAGCTTAGTTTGTTTTGCAGGGCAGTAGCTCCCAGGGCATAGTTATCATTCTTGTCATTTAGGTATATATCATCTCCCCGGAAAGGCCCTCTTTGATGACCCACACTGAGATCGGCACCCAGCCACTCCAGCTAACAGTGTATTTTCATTTTCTCCCATACACGTATTATCTGGTGTCTGCCTTACTTGTGTGCGTGTTTGTTTATTGCCTGTTTCTTCACACCAGCATGGGTGCTTCCTGGGAGCAGGGACCTTGCTCACCTCTGTAATTCTAACCCTTCAGAGAGTGCCTGGCTCAGAGGGACCACTCAGAAGATAATCGTTAAAGAAATGAAGAGCCCGTGTGCTTAGGAAGAGTTGGACTATTGACCAGCTATTTCACTTCTACCCTGAAAATTCCCCATTTAGACAGAGAGGTTTCCTGGCAAGAGCATGAAAATGGGTACCCTCCCCGCTCTGGCACGAGAGCCCCAGTGCCGGTGAGGACCAGAGGGAAGTCTTCACTGCGCAGCAGAGGCCTGCACGCCTGAACAGCTTTTAACACGGAGCCTCGGCTTCAGGAAGATTCATTAAGTTGTTGGTGCAAACCATGTGATGGGATTTCACAATGTCCTTTCCGGTTCTTAAAAGTAGTCCTAAAGCTACTGTCTTATCCATGTGGTTCCTTTGGAAAGAACTGAAGTCAAGACAACACAGCCTATGGTTCTGGGAATCAGAAAGAACTGGGTTTGGTTCCTCTGCCGCCATTGATCAGCTGTGCAGACCTGAGTGAGTGACCCGAGTGACCCATATTCCCTGACTCTGTGTCCCTTTTGTGAAATGGGGTTTTACACAAGGCTGTTGTAAAGATGACGTGAGATTTTATAGTCAAACACCAGTTAGGAGCGACTGAAACATAGTCAGTATTCATCAAATGCCAATTGCTAGCTACTACCCTTCTTTTGTAATTTTTTTAAGGTAATATTTGCACATGGTGCAAAGGAGTATCCAGGAAAAAGAGAGTCCTCTCCTCATCTGGGATCCTG